TAAGTGCAGTGGCCTGGGTCAGACCCCGGAAGCTGCCCTAGGAAGCCTGCAGCGAGCCCGGTGGTATTTGACTTCGCAGGCCAGCTTTACTTTGTTCAACTACCTCAGAACACCGGGATAGTGCGCTGCGCAAACAGGATTATCATGAATGGAGTCCCCAAAGTCCGGACTTGAGCTCGAGAGGGAGCTGACCTGTTCTGTAAGTGACCGATAGACAGTCTTCCATCCCAGCCCATCACCTCGCATGGCGCCTGCTAACTTCCCGCCTTTTGCTCCCGACCCCAGATCTGCACCGAGCTGCTCTACCAGCCGCTCACTCTGCTCGACTGCCTGCATACATTCTGCGGTTCATGCTTGAAGGAATGGTTCAGCTTCCAAGCTGCGAAAATCGAAAATGCCCCCAATCCGCCGCCGCCCGATGCTGCTCCATTCACATGCCCCTCATGCCGGGCGCCGGTGAGAGATACGAGGCACAGCGCCACCTTCGTGACGCTCCTCGACATGTTGATCACGGCGCACCCGGAGAAAGCCCGCACCGATGCCGACAAGGAGGATATGGCGAGCAAGTACAAGCCCGGAGACCAAGTGATACCAAAAATCAAACGCCGGGAGCGAACCGCCGAGGAGAGGCGGGCCGACGAGGAAGACAGGAGGCTGGTCGACAGTGTCAGAGAGATCAGCCTGCGCGAGAGTAGCGGTGCACCACCCCAGTCATCCAGGCCTCAGCATCGCAGGGACAGCAGGTCCAGGTCGAGCGGAGATACGGCGTCAGATCCACGTCAGCGTCGCACACGAGAAGGGGGGCATCGACAGAGACGGGATGAGCCCCGCCGGGAGAATTCTGATCAGTTGGCTCCTGACGGAGAGCCGAGGCGGAGGAGGCGGAGTGAATCACGGCAGCGCCAAATCGACCAGGAACGTGCCGCCCGCCAGATAGGGCATCAGTCCTCCTTGCGCTCTTTGATTAGCTCTGCGGACATGAATGATCGGGATATTGAGAAGGAGATTGAAGAGTTTGCGCGGCAGATCCAGGAGGAAGGACTTCTCAATGGGCTTGATCTCGATAACATCGATCTAACCCGAGATGATGAACTTAGCCGCCGGATTACAGAAGCATATCGTCGGCGACAAAGGGGGCGAACCCGAAACGAGAACTCCTCCAGAAGCAACGGCCGGTCGAGCAACAGCAACGGTGGCCACTCAAGTTCGACTCGACCTACGGAAAGCAGCCAAGGGGACAGAGGACCAACTACAGCAAGTAACGGAGGCCGACAAGGTAGTAGCCGCCCCAATCGCCATGCGCGGTCCGCGAGCGCCAGTGGACATTCGGAAGAAAGGCGAAGGCCACCTACGGCTTGGACCGCCAATCTGGATGCCAGAGACTCATCAAGCACTGGGAGGCGTCGCGCCAGCAGCAATGGCCGCTCGACCACAGTGCCAACTGTGCCCGCATTTTCGACCCCTCCCACATCGGACTCAAGTAGACCAGCAGCGCGGTCCCAGACGGACCTGACCCTGCCACCCAGCTCCGTAGATGGTGCCGGACGTGCCAGGCCAGCAACCAGCTCCGGGAGAAGCTCGAGTTCCCCGGTCACAAACTCTTCCCCGACAAATCTCCCGGCTTCCAGTGCACCAAACCTCCAGTCGTTTGCAAACAGAGCAACACATGCGAACCCCAATAACGCCAATCCCACATCAGGCCGCTCCACTACGCCCCCGGAGACTTCACAGCAGACAACCCAAATTAATAGGCAAAGAGCAAACCCACCGGCCGAGCTTGCTGTTATGCACTCGTCGGCATCGGGCCCTGTTAGCACCAGTCCAGTTCTCAGCCCTGCCAGCGCTGGACACCAACGGAAGAGATCCCAACTTTATCCAGAACCATCAATTACGTGTGCCAGGTGCGGCAAGACGCATATTGAGTATGAAGTCCACTACAACTGTCACATATGCGCAAACGGGCAATGGAATATCTGCCTTACCTGCTACAGAGCATCATTAGGTTGCAAGCATTGGTTTGGATTTGGATACGCAGCCTGGGTCAAGTGGGAGAAGATTCGCAATCGTAGTGATAGTCCACAAGCAATGTCGCCACCCCATGTGTTGACTGCCCATCGATACGTCCCTCCCCAACACCAACCCGGTGGCGCTGATGGCCGGAAGACACTCACAGCGTACGACCCAAAGAACAGACTAGAGGTTGGAATGTTCTGTGCCCGCTGCTCCGCTTGGGCAAACCAGTGCTTCTGGCGTTGTGAACAGTGCAACGAAAATGACTGGGGCTTTTGCAACAACTGCGTCAACCAGGGCAAGTCATGTTCGCACATGCTGTTGCCATTGACCAACGAAGGGTCATCGTCACAAGACCGCCCAAAGAGTCCCCGCTCCCCCGGCCCGCCAGCCACAGCGAGCATCCTTACCGGACCTTCGGGATCAAGTGTCGGAGACTTCAAGCCGCTCACCTTTGCGACGAGATGCGATATCTGCCAAGATCCAATAGGGTTAACGCAAACTCGATACCATTGTTACAGCTGTAAGAGCGCCCTGATTGCCGACGCGACGCCTGGAGACTATGACATCTGCACCTCTTGTTATGATAATTTGGTTCAGCATGGTGAAATCAGTCCCGAGAATGGTCATTCAGGATGGAGGCGATGTCTCAATGGTCATCGGATGGTTGTGATTGGTTTTACTGAGGGTAAGATCGGGCTCTGGCGTTACGTGGACCATGATCTTGTTGGTGGCCGCTCCCTTGGATCGGAATCATACACCAGTGTAGACAAGCGTGGCCTGGAGCTGGTCAAGTGGTCATGGCCATGGGGTGATCAGAAAAGGGAACGCCTTGTATCCAAGAATGTGAAGACTGCGGCGCCCTCAAGTGATGGTGGAGTGACATTCACACAGACCTTCCCACCGGATGGTGGCGTGGGCGCTCGCGCGACCGCAAAATGGGCATGGTATCCAGCCTCCGGGAATGATGATGAGTTGATGTTTCCTCGTGGAGCTGAAATAAAGGAAGTGGAGGATATGAACGGGGATTGGTTTTTTGGGACCTATATGGGAGCCAAAGGTGTGTTCCCAGCGCCGTACGTCCGGCTACACCAGGAAAATTGACGCCGAGCGCACCGCCGGTAGCCAACGCGGAAATCGATAAACTATTCTTGGAGGAACGAGAGACATGGTCAGATTGACGGACTGGAATGTGTTTTTTTGCATAATGATATCGACCCATGATACTGATAGGGCTGTTTTGGCTAAGCGCTAGAGTTCCAGGACCCGGCTGGGTGCTGATGATGATCTACGTACGATATGAAAAGTAAACTTATGATTTAAGACAACGTTCTACATGATATTTCTTAACCACCAGTTGCGTGAACTCAATTGAACTTAGACGGCGTCTTTGTGAGCCTGTTCGGCGCCGAGCATCGGATCCTCGGCAGTTGACGTGATTGCGGTGCTCGGCCCCACCATGAATTGCTCCCGCCGTCCTCCAAGCTGAGATTCTGCTCGCCTCATGCTGTGCGGGCGATGACAAAGCCGAACGTTCCCCGAGGATTCTTTATGAGCATCCGAACCAGGTGTCTTGGACCTTCAACCTAACAACCCAAGAACACCCAGCCCGCCCAATTCGCCATGTTTCGCACCACCGCGCGACGGCTCGCTGTTGCGGCTGCTAAGGCTGCTGAGCCCAGCGCCTACACTCTCAAGGTCTCGGCGGCCCAAGGAATCGCCAAGGGACTCACCGGAGGTTTGTCCAGCAGCTTTCAATCGAATCACACTGATCTAGCGAGCTAACCTTTGCCCTTGCTGCCAGCCATCGGAAACACCCCCCTGATCCGGCTCAACAAGCTCTCCGAGGAGACGGGCTGCGAGGTGCTGGGCAAGGCCGAGTTCATGAACCCCGGCGGCTCCGTCAAGGACCGCGCGGCCCTCTACGTGGTCAAGGACGCCGAGGAGCGCGGCCTGCTGCGTCCGGGGGGCACCGTCGTCGAGGGGACGGCCGGGAACACGGGCATCGGGCTGGCGCACGTGTGCCGCTCGCGCGGGTACAAGCTCATCATCTACATGCCCAACACGCAGTCGCAGGGCAAGATCGACCTGCTGCGGCTGCTGGGCGCCGAGGTGTACCCCGTGCCCGCGGTGGCGTTCGACAACCCGGACAACTACAACCACCAGGCGAAGCGGCACGCCGAGAGGCTGGAGAACGCGGTGTGGACGAACCAGTTCGACAACACGGCGAACCGGCGGGCGCACATCGAGACGACGGGGCCGGAGATCTGGACGCAGACGGCGGGCAAGGTCGACGCCTTCACGTGCGCTACGGGGACTGCCGGCACGTTTGCCGGCGTCACGAGGTATCTGAAGGAGGTCTCCGGGGGCCGGGTTAAGAGCTTCCTTGCGGACCCTCCTGGCAGTGTTCTGCACTCGTACGTGAGCTCGGGCGGCAAGCTCGTCGAGCGCTCGGGGTCTAGTATCACGGAGGGTATTGGCCAGGGCCGCATCACGGACAACCTGCAGCCGGACATTGACCTGGTGGACGGGTCCCTGACAATCGCGGACGAGAAGAGCATCGAGATGGTGTACCGGTGCCTGGACGAGGAGGGCCTGTACCTGGGAGCTAGCTCGTCGCTCAACGTGGTGGCGGCCAAGGAGGTGGCCGAGAAGCTGGGCAAGGGCCACACCGTCGTCACGATGCTCTGCGACGGCGCGTACAGGTATGCCGACAGGCTGTTCTCCCGCAAGTGGCTCACTGAGAAGAAGCTCCTGGGTGCCATCCCCAAGCACCTGGAGAAGTACATTGTCTTGCCATGAAGTATATAAAAATATGAAAGAATTTTGTAGCGGGTGCGTAGAGCTTGGTTATTGTACAACAACAAAAAGGTCTATATCTTACACATTCATACAGCAAAATAAAAATATTTGCAACACCCTTTTTTTTTACGACTTCCTCCCAAATATCCAGACGTGAATTACAACTGCCCAGTTTGCACCTTTTCTGTTCATGAAGCATTCTTTGGTTCATCACCGACCACGGCCTTGTATGCTTCTGCCAATTCAGAGCGCTTGGGGGAGGTACTGATAAACCCGGCGACATGCGAGTCAATGGCATTTGCAACAGGGAGCAGTACCGAGTCGAGCTTGTCGTCGATAGACTTGAATTCCGGGTGCTGCTTGGCTGTGTGGTGAGCTGCCCGGATTCCCTTGACGTTGCGTGCGAGCGACGCAACGTAGGCATATGGGGCTAATCTAGGAGGTGCCTCTCTCCTTGTCTTCTCTGTGCGGGGTAGCAATTCAGCAAACTCGGGAATGTCCGCGACCTGTTGTTCCAGGAGAGGTTCCCACAGCGAGATGAATGCTTTGATGTCCTCCAGGAGGAGGTCGAGTTCCTTCTCAACCGGCTCTCCAGCCTCGTGTTTCGCCTTGACAAGAGCGGACCGGGCCAGGAGAATCTGACCACGAGCAGTCAATGAGTAGTGTAATCTGTCGCGCAGGTTGCTGACGTCTTCTCGGTGTGAAGGACGCTGAAGAATATCCAAAAGGGAGTCAATACTCTTCACAAGTTTCTGAATCTGCTCCCAGTCGCCTCCAGCAGCAGTGACCTTGGTGGTGATGTCGGTGAGGATGTGGCTCAGGAGCTCCTTGTTGCGAATATAGAAACCAGTCTTGTCCGCCTCATTGGCGCACTCGATGAGGATGTTTGCGAAGCCCTTCTTCGCAGCTATCCGGGCAATCTTGCCCTGGAACCGTGCTGGGAGCTTGATGTTGCCACTCTTGTAGCCGGCGAGCATCGTGGCCAGGTTGCGCCAATCGCGTGCTGTTTCCATTTCATCCAGGGCGGCGAAAAAGATCTTGCCGGGTTTGGGGATATCATGATGTTTGTCGATTGTTGTGAAGTTGTGTTCCAGCCCCTCCACCTCGATGACAATCGGGTTCTGCTCGAGGTAGGAACGCCTATTGGGGTCGAAGACGACGGCTCGCTTCTTCGGGGGCAGCCGAGCTGGGAGGATGATCTTTTCTTGGATTTCATTGAGAATTTTGTCCAATTTTTCGTTTCCTGTCTCCCGGAAGAGAACTGGCACACCTTGATTCACTCAATTAGTTTCGTAGTCGTGGGGGAGAAGATAGCTGCATGGCAAATTTTGGCATACAGTGGTGAGGAGTGGTGCTAAAGCACCTTCCAGCCCAAGCCGAGCTCGTCGGTGTGGATCGACTGAGCCTACCAAGGCCCTGTAAGGTCGTTCTCGCCGTCCGGTTGTACATTTTGTCGAACAACGCCTCAGGATGGATTAGACGGTGCGCTTGTCGGCCTCGAATCTGGTGTCGTCCAAAAAGTTCCCAAGTCTGAACCACACGAGCGAATGACGGGGAATAGATCAGCCGGACCAATCATACGACGCAATTGGCCCCACATCCGACTTCCTAGGAAATTCTGATAGGAATGAATTCACACCTGCCAAGTCTCACAAGCAGTTGCCGCCTTTCTCGTCATTGACAACACCACACGTCAGCCACGATGAAGCCCATCAGCGTGGGAGGGCCGTTGGGTTGCCTCAAGACAGCCCTGCGAACTACCGGACTACAAAGGGCCGCTCAGCGATCGATCGCGACCGCTGCTCTACCCCAAAGCGCATTCAATGGTGCTTTCAACAGAAATCAACGTACGAGGCCACTGCCACCCCATGCTTTCTGAATTTTAACGACGAAGAAACGATTTTGGCTAACGCCGTTGCTACAGGGGAGGAAATCAAGCGAGTCAGCCAGTTCCAAGTCTACCCACCAGTTCCCTCAGTCCGGGCTACCGTCCCCAATCCAATGCCCGCCCTCCGCAAAGCGCAGGTCGAGAAGCTCGATCCCACCGGTGCACGAACCCGAATGTTCTCCAAGGAGCACGCAGACAGCGCCAAGGTGGGCGATGTTTTGATGGTAACGACAAAGCAAGGAGAGCCCTTCGCCGGCGCCTTTATCCAGATCCGACGACGCGGCGTAGACACGGCGATCCAGCTACGTGGACAGCTGATGAAGATTGGCGTGGAGATGTGGTTCAAGATTTACAGCCCGTCGGTGACGGCGATCGATGTCATCTGGCGTCGTCCAAAGAGGGCAAGGAGAGCCAGGCTCACATACATGCGGAAGCCCAAGCACGACATGGGCAGTGTGGATCAGCTCGTGTTCGCCTGGAAGAAGGAGCGTTACGCACTGCGTTCCAAGGAGAAGGCGAGGGCTGGCCACCAGAGGAAGAAGTAGAGAGTGCTTGGGCTGGACGGGCCCTTGCGTGTATGATATCTGTTTCACTATTGGACAAAAGCATAGCACAACGAATATGGACTTGTTTTATTCCAAACTAGCGGCTCATGCGAAAGGCGGTTTGATGGTGCATTGCATCACAGGCAGAGTCGAGACATGCCATGTATTACTTACTAGTACTGTATAGGACTGTGATACGAGCAATGTTGAAATGCGGGGCTTACTTGTGAGCACATTGGTCCCCAGTGCCTAGGTTCACATGTGCACTAACTGATACATAACGGAATGTTGCAAGTATACCAAAGGAGATATGATGTACATAGGTAGTATGCTCTAGGCAGGTGAAGAGGTTAAGAACTATAGAATGGAGAGGAGGGGGTACGACTACTACACACCAATCTGACGGCTAAATTATGCTTACGACGACAATACTTGGGTTAGCGGAGATTGACTTTGGTAGTGGCTGGAAACGGGAAGGAATATGATTGAGTTCAAAGCGCTGCGACGTTTCAGATATTCAAGTGGAATTGGTTGTTGTGTGTGACGTTTGGAGTCAGATGCAGCACTTGAGACGTTGGCTACGGTATCGCCGTATAAGGCGCTGCTTATCAGTCCACATTGGATTGGTAGCACTGCATCCTGCACTGCACAGCGGGAGGTTGGGAAAGAGACCGCATGTACCGACCACGCAGCGAGTCCAACGAACCCAGTGGGCCCACCACACCACCATAAGGCAGCTAGCCACCAAGCACCAGCCGCTAAATTCGGCTCCGACCACTGGGATGGCGCTTCTAGGGGATGGAGGGGCCAATGGCCGGCCAACCGCAGAGTGGTTCGGCAAATTGTTTACTACCTGCAGCCATGCGAGTGGACGGGATGCCTCGATTAGTACCTGACCTTAGATGACGATACAGGGAGCCAACAGACCAACCACCTCATTGACGGCAGCTGCTGGACCTCCATCACCAGAGATAATTTACTAGCCAATTCCCACCATCCCTTCCATCCTACCCAAGATCCCCCTTTCTCTGCGCTGTCTCTCTCATACTTAGCTGTGTCTTCGTTGCATTCACTTCCATCCCATATCGTCATCATCTGCCAGCTCTGAATCCCCCCAGCGGTACTCCACTGCCGACAAGAACCCTGGGCGCTCTATCCCTTGAACCCCACTACCACGCATCTGGCGGGAGGAGTCGCTGCATGGTATTTGACATCGGCGGTCAACGAGCACCGCAGGATTGCTTTCTTGCGGAGAAGCTGGAGAGTCTTTGTGCTAGATACCTAGCCTCTGGCGAGACCAGCGACCACGATCATAATCGATCCCCATGCCGGGGACCATCAGCGCACTCGGCACAGCCAACGGAATGAGTATGGTGAATATAGAGAAAGAGCGATGGGTTGCCATCCAGAAAAAGACATTTACAAAATGGTGAGCCTCTTGCGGTCCGCTACCAGGCGTCCTAGGCTAACGGAGATCTAGGCTCAACACGAAAATTGCTGCACGAGACCTCGAGGTGAAGGATCTGGCGCGAGACCTAACGGATGGAGTAAGTAAACGCAGGTCCGCCCATGCCATGGCGAGTCACCGTACTGACTTTCCTCGCAATAGGTCATGTTAATTCACCTGCTTGAATGCCTGTCGAACGATACGCTAGGCCGATATGCGTCGAACCCAAAGCTACGAGTTCAAAAGTTCGAGAATGCCAACCTGGCTCTCGACTTTATCAAAATGAGGGGCATCCAGTTGATCAATATCGGCGCTGAAGATGTCGTAGGCGGGAATGAAAAGATTATTCTGGGACTCATCTGGATGATAATTTTACGGTTCACAATTAGCGACATCAACGCAGAGGGCTTGTCCGCCAAGGAAGGTCTGCTGCTCTGGTGTCAAAGAAAGACTGCTTGTTACGAGGGAGTCGAGGTGCGAGATTTCAGCCACAGCTGGAAGGATGGCCTTGCCTTCTGTGCCTTGCTGGATATCCATCGTCCCGATCTGATCGACTACGACGCTCTTGACAAGTCGAAACACAGAGAAAATATGCAGATGGCATTTGACATCGCCGAGAAGGAGATTGGTATCCCGAAATTGCTGGACGTGGAGGACGTATGCGAATCACCCGACGACAAGAGTTTGATGACTTACATCGCATACTGGTTCCATGCCTTCTCACAAATGGAAAAAGTCGAGAATGCAGGCCGACGAGTGGAAAAGTTTGTCAACAACATGCAGGGAGCTTGGGAGATGCAGAGCGCGTACGAGAGGCGGGTGCGAGCACTTTTGAAGGCCACTGCGGAGCAGGTGGAAACATGGCAGCTATCAGAATTCAAGGGAACCTACACCGACGCAAAGGCCCAAGCGGCAGCATTTGCTGAATATAAAAAGGGACAAAAGCGAGACTGGGTGGCTGAGAAGAGTGATCTTGCAACGCTGCTGGGCAACATCAAAACGAAACTGGGCACCTATCGTTTGCGACCTTATGAGCCCCCCGCTGAATTGAGCTTGGAAGCGATGGATCACGCCTGGGCCAACTTATCCCAGTCGGAAATGCACCGAGCCCAACTAATCAACGAAACTATTCGAGAGTAAGTCGGACATGGCACCCTTCGCCCGGATATTCAGTCTAGCTAACAATACTCCAGCATCAAGAACGCTTTGCGGAGGTCCTTCGCCGACAAAGCGAACGATTTCGCCATGGCTCTGAACGCAATGCAACTGGCGATTTCAGGACTAGATGGTGATGTCGAGGATCAACTACACCATGTTCAGAAGCTCAGCGACAACCTTCCCCCAATGGACCGGTATCTGGAAACAATCGAGGCCGTGGAAATCAAATGCCAAGAGGCAAATATTGAAGAGAACGACTTCACAACTTATACATACGACGAGCTAGGATATGAGCTCGGATTAGTAAAGTCATCAGTGCAGAAGAAGCTGGCATTCTTGGAGAACCAGATGGTGGCACGAAACATGACAAACTTGACGCCGATTCAACTCGAGGAGTTTGAGAGTGTCTTCCGTTATTTCGACCGCGATGACACCAATTCGCTGCAAGAATTAGAGTTCAGCGCCGCGCTGGCATCGCTTGGCCTAGTATTTTCAGAGGAGGACATGCATGAATATTTCGAGGTGACGTCCGAAGGCCGTGATTACGTGACCTTTGAGCAGTTTATTCGCTTCATGGTGGATGTAACCGAGGATCAGAACACAGCCGAGCAAGTGTTCCAATCCTTCAGAGAGGTGGCTGACGGTAAGCCATATGTGACGGAGATGGATTTGCGGCACAGTCTAGTTCCCGACGAGGTCATTGACCAACTTGTTGACATGATGCCCGAGCATAAGGGGCCCGACATGTCAGAAGACCGGGGGATGCCCCAATACGATTATATTTCGTTCATGGAGAAGCTCATCAACGACGAGCGCGGACGGGAGGAACAAGCACCAAGCAATGTGCTACAGGATAGGACAAACCGGGACGAGAGCCCGCGGAAGGAGAGCAAAGTGAACGGGAATAAAGTAAACGGATTGCATTAGATGGGATGAGATGGACGTCGGAAGGGAAGATCGGTCTATTTGAGGTGTTGACTCTCTCCTGTTCGTCTTGGGGGTCCTCTTCGTTTGGAAGGCAGGGTGAGTTAGTCGCAGAGAGAGCGTGCAGGAATCATTTCTTCACCTCCTCCTCCTCACCAGAAATCTCTCCCCCTTCATTACTTCGGTCTCTCTTTTGTAAGCACTGAGGAGTATTTAATAATAGGTGCATCACCTGGTGTGTTGTACAGGAAACATGCGAGAAGACGAGGGTTTGGCAATGATGCAGAAACCCCCAGATTACTTAGATATCAGGCTTGTTAGGTATTATATTATTACTTAGTCGAATAGCAAACAGACGAAATATCAAATGAGGCAGAGTTCTTCTTCGGTGAGGCTTCACTGTAGCATTCTCCAACGGAAACATGATTCCGGCAGATTGCCGGGCGGTTTGAAGAATAAATTCTCAGGTCGCGGCCCCGAATTCGGAATCTTTCGGCCATTTTGCGTGGCCGCCGAAGACAAGGCTCTCTGCCCAATAAGAAGTCGCGGGAAGAGGCTAAACGACGGAAAACCTGATTAACCGCCGAATCGCCTCTCTCTTGCCTTTGCTTCCACGACAAATGGGGGAGTTCAAGGGAGACCATTTGTTCTACTAACTTAGTATATATTTATCATTCATATCTTTCCTAGATACAGACACAGGCTTTTCTGTTTCCCACCAATCTTTGAGCAATTCCCCCCCTCCGCAATGGCTTCTCGCTCAAACGTAGTGCGCGCGCTGCGAGCGCCGGGCCGGTGCTTGAGACTGGATGCTCGGGCTGGGCGAACTCTCACCACCACCACCACCAGCAACGGCCTTCTCTCCGCAGCTTATGGACGATGCGCTGCCACGGCATCGGCCCCCAGGTTCTTCTCAGCCGCCACGGCTCGCCATGCCAAAAGCACCGCCGAGATGTACCCGTCGCTGAAGCGCGACCCCAAGTATGCCGAGGTGACCAAGGAGCACGTCGCCTACTTCAAGGAGCTGCTTGGGTCGTCGTCTGCGGTCATCGACGGCGTCAATGCTGACGCTGCAGGTGACATCGAGCCGTTCAATGAGGATTGGCTTCACAAGTACAAGGGACAGTGCCGGCTGGTCCTCAAGCCCGGCTCCACCGAGGATGTCAGCAACATCCTCAAGTACTGCAATCAACACAAGCTGGCCGTCGTTCCCCAGGGGGGCAACACTGGTCTCGTGGGTGGATCTGTCCCCGTCTTTGACGAAATCGTCATTAGCATGGCACGTATGAACACGATCCATTCGTTTGATGAGGTCAGCGGGTCTCTCGTGGCAGATGCCGGGTGCATCTTGGAGGTGGTGGACCAATTCCTCGCCTCAAAGGGGTACATCTTTCCCCTTGATCTGGGTGCTAAGGGGTCGTGCCACATCGGAGGCAACGTCGCCACAAACGCTGGTGGCCTACGCTTGCTGCGATATGGCAGCTTACACGGGAGCGTCCTGGGCCTTGAGGCTGTGCTACCTGATGGCACCATCCTGAATGATCTGGGGACCCTGCGCAAGAACAACACTGGCTTCGACCTGAAGCAGCTACACATTGGCGCTGAGGGGACGATCGGCATCATCACCAAGGTGTCCATCCAGTGCCCCCAGCGCTCTCCTGCCGTCAACGTGGCATACTTTGGTCTCGAGTCCTTTGAGAAGGTGCAGGAAGCGTTCAAGGAGGCCAAGAAGCAGCTATCCGAGATCCTCTCGGCTTTTGAGCTGATGGACCTCAAGAGTCAGCAGCTTGTTAGCAAGGTGCGCCCGGACGTTCAGAAACCGCTGGAGGATGACCACCCCTTCTACTGTCTGATCGAGACAAGTGGCTCCAATGCGGAGCATGACTATGCAAAGCTCGAAAAGTTCCTCGAGGATGTCATGACCAAGGAAATTATCTCCGATGGCGTGGTTGCCCAGGACGAGACCCAGGTGAAGACCCTCTGGAGCTGGCGCGAGGGTGTCCCAGAGTGCATCGGCCACTGGGGAGGTACCTACAAATATGACGTTTCAATCCCCATCCAGGACATGTATCAGATCGTCGACGACGTCCATGCTCGCCTGGTCGAGGCCGGGCTCGTTGGTGACACCGACGAGTACCCTGTGATCGGCACCTCCGGTTACGGGCACATGGGAGACGCCAACATCCACCTCAACGTCGCCGTCCGACGTTATGATTCGGCAGTCGAGAAGGTCCTGGAGCCCTACGTCTACGAGTGGGTCGCGGGCCGCAAAGGAAGCATAAGCGCTGAGCATGGTCTTGGCCTCGCGAAGAAGAACTACATTGGTTACAGCCGAGATGAAACCACAATCGGCCTAATGAAGCAGATCAAGCACCTGTATGATCCTGTGAGTGAACTCCCGCCCCCCATTCCTGCCCTATCTCCCTCCCCCGTACTTCTGCAGCCCTATACAGGTACAGGCTGCTTTGGCACATCCGGGACGGGACGGTGTGGCCGTAAGGCTGGAATAAGCATCCAAAAGCTGACGAGAGAATTGTACAACCAGAACGGCATCATGAACCCCTACAAATACCTGTGATCCTTCCTCCCCCCCACACTGCAGCAAGTGCCATCCCTTCAAACTTAGATTGATCAATAAAAAAGCGAATTGACGGTGAAACCACCTTGTTGGCGGGCGTCTTATGGCCGGCCCTGCAGTCATACCATACCATGGCACTCTATGCACGAGGTGCTGGCGTAAACCCGTTGGAGAGACTGCCATGATCCCTTCCGCCCCTTGCCTTGACCGACGATCGTGTGGGTGTGTATATGTGTCCTTGGCTGGGGGATCGGAATATGAAGAGGCAGGTAATTAAAGCCGACAGCAGCGCTGTACAGTATCCCTATCTCGTGCATATGCCAATTAATTATATCTCTTGTGTACGCGTCCCTGGTCCCACGGGCCATGTCATTGGGAACCAACGAAGCCGAAACCCCTGAGAGCTTGGGCGGCATCCGCTCCATGGCAATCTGTAGAGTCGAGGATCATTCTGTCGGCTAGTGGGTCAAACAGAGCAGAACACCAACTTGTTCCCCCCCTTCTCTGCGTGTAGGCCAGGATGAGGCCCCCATAAGTATGTCGTCCCGCGGCCGCCACGACACCGCTGGCCGTCATCCTGCAACTGTCATCAAATCCATGCCCGGTCGCGTACCAATGGGCGGCCGTTCGTGCTGGGTCGGCGTGGGACCCAGATATGCCCAGATTTGGACCTATTTTGCTCAGGCACCCCGGCCAGCCAACCAGCGCGCGAGCTGGCCATCCCATGTCAGCTCTACCGACGAGGTTGTACGAGCTTCCCAGTACAGCCCGTCGTCATCCATGCCAGCGGAGAAAGGTCGAGCTCCACTCCTTCTCTGCGTCCGCCGAGCCCGTGGTTCTCTCGCCATGGCATGCATTCAGCTCAGTAAGGCAGCGGGTCCGAGCTGAAGTGTATTATCATGTAGGTCTGAGGAGCACGTAAGCGGCGTAGAGCTCTAAATTCACAAGGCTGGTTGAGGACTATTGCTTCGGGGCTGGTTCTGTACGCTGATTCGCTCGAGCCCAAGATTCCCACCGTCTCGCTACCCTCGTCCTAATTATGATGATGTTATGCGGCGACGTTGGCAGCTCTCACGTATCTGGGACTTGCCTAGGTTCCATGGCCCGCACCCCTGAGGGAAAAGGATCAGATATTTCTGAGAGTCCGGAAACCGATCAGGCCAATACGGTTGTCTAGAAGGCATGTCTCGAGACATTGCTTCGGTTTCTGGATGCACCCTAACTTCTGAATTATTAATTTTCCTCCCCGTTGTGGAAACCTGGCCCGGGACACGTACATATATATATCTCTGTGCGTTGGTGACGCCAGAGTCCTGTAACTTGCCACACTGGCTCAAGCCTCATCGACTGAGCCTCTTCACTGGCTGAGTAACACTTCGCATCGCCCATCCGAGCATTCATTCGTTTAGTCGCAGGCAGGCATAATGGTTGGCGTCCCCGGGAAATACAAGGGTTGCGAAACGTGCAGGCGCCGAAGAGTAAAGGTAGGACCAACCATCAAGATCGATTTTAGCCGGATTCGACACGACTGACTTGATCTTTTTATTCTAGTGTACCAACGAGCGTCCGAAATGCTCAAAATGTATCACCAGCGGAAGAGATTGCGAGGGTTACGAGAGGGAGATGATGTTCATAACCGGCACTCCCGAGAACAAGGGCCGAGTTTCGTCACACCCCAAGAAAGGGAGCGGCTCGTCACCAGCGTCGTCAACATCAAAGAGGCGTTCGAAGTCTCGCACGCCAATAGGCAAGGAAAGCAGCCGGAGCTCCAGCGCATCGTTTGTCCCGACCCATCCATTGACTTCGGCTTGGGACGACTTCATCGGGCTCTCCAGCAACGGCACCGAGTCGCAGGTGCTGTTCACTGCGTTGCAGACTCCTCTCAAAAGCGTCATCCGAGAAGAGGAAGATTCTGGAGATGATGCCAGGTTCAAGGTCTCTTTTACTCCAACTACCCCTCCTGAAATTCCGTCACTTCCGGGATGTGACGATTTCAGCGTCCAGGCTCAATGCCTCGTAAGTACACACTATCCTGGAGAGGAAGTCAACGGGGGGAATTTCTGCGCCTTCTTATTCGAGGTGAGATATTCCGATACGTCTTGAGGGAGTCAAACGAGCCTGGCTAATGCCGATAGAAGCATACCTTCCAGACCCAAGGCTTTCCGACCTTCAACAACACTAATCCGGATCCCGTGCAAAGTGCAGGGCCGGAGAACTTCAAGGCCTTCCCGAACCACCATTATTTTGTAAGGGTCTATCGGCCACTAGTTGTAAGTCTATCATGGAGGGTACTATTGGCAACAGGAGAAGCACATCGTCTAACTTGGGTCGATAGCTGAGCTCTGCCTTATTAAGAAGACAACCAACTTTCTTATCCGAACCACAATGGCAGAGAGTTCCGTGGGAACTCTACCCGAAGCCTCTTTTCGATCAGCTTCTCGATCTCATTGCGCTCCTATCCGGGACACTTCACCACACTGACCAGATCATGACGATGCAGCCGACGTTACCACGACGCCACCAAGCACAAGATCTCTTGCACACCTGCCTTCTCCTCGAGGCACGATTTGACGAGTGGCTTGGCCTAGCCCATAACCAGACCGGGCAGCAACCTGTGAGCTATTGGGCTGGCGAATTACTGACATCGAACGGAGAGGTGGCATTTTCCCACTCCTACTCGTTCAAGGACAGCCTGACCGGCCTCATGTTCCTGTACTACTGGATGTCCCAGATCCGGTTCCGGAGATGCGTCGATTGCCTCCACCGAGTCATATACGAGCCTGTGGTCGATTCCCATGCGGACATTTGGCCCGATCTGCCACCCAACTTACAAATTGACTTGACACGGTATCAACAGACTCGAGATCTGGCGGCCAGCATCTGCCGAGGGCTCGAATCGACATTGGAAAGCACGGTGCAGCCGAATCTGCTGCTCGCTCCCATGACGATCGCTCTGGAGCTGTACCGGGACATCAACCTCTCCACGCAGGATTGCCTACCTGAAATACTTTGGCTTGAGGCTTTCGAATCCCGGCTGGTTGAGAAGGTCGAGAATGTGGCGACCGTTCTGCAGCAGAACCGCTGGGTGGAAGTCACCCGATTTTAGACCGTTGCAAGGTGCTATAGCGGGATGTATCATTACAGAGGTGAAGGGAGGGAGGGGTACTTGTTGAACAAGCATTGCGTGCGCAGCTGGTCTGCTTGCAAATACATGACTGTGGGATAAATCTTGGGACATGAGATGACGAAGGTAGCTTTTTGGGCTTGAGTGTTCTCGTTTCCCATCTCAGCAATTGGCATTCGAGTTTCATTGTATGTTTGCAACTGCTCCTCCTGGCGAGGGGCTGCATTGGGTGGGAAACCAGACAGGTGGACTAAAAGTAAGGCAAATTCAAGTATTTAATTCAAAGTAAAATCGAAAAACTCAAAACATGATAACACTGTGAAAATCAAAGAGAAGTCTAACATGCTACCTAACAAAAGAAACATGAAGATGATTCAAAGGTTGAGGTTAGACGGGCTTCAAGTTGTCAGGTGGTACAAGGTACAAGCAAGCTCCAGCCTTCCGCATTAACTTTCTTCCGATAGCTCACAACCCCCACACAGCTCAATAGCGGGCATCCATCCAACAGCTCAGGCAAGTGTAGCTTGTGTCGGACCGCGTGCAGGCAGGCTACAGGAGTGACGAAGCTCCACCGATCCCAGCTTCCTTTCGTTACCAACATCCCGCCTTGACCTCGCTCAACTCCCAGCATCACACGCAAATAACATTGCCGGAGGCCTATTCTTCCCCGTCTGCATTTATCCACAACCTCTCCACGCAAGAACACTATCATGGCTTCCGGATACGACCGAGCGCTGTCGGGTACGTAGTGATATATCATTTAATGGCAGCTTTGATTGCGTTTACTAACAGCGATATACAGTCTTTAGGTTCGTTTCGAATAGCAGCTTGCAAAGACAAAGCGTCATCTAACAATGAGTCAGTCCCGATGGCCACGTTTTCCAAGTCGAGTATGCTGGCGAAGCAGTGAAGCGAGGTGGGTTGATTGCCTCATAGGTACCCCAAGTCGGCTCGTTGCTGATAGTGCATCTAATCTAGGAACCTGTGCCGTTGGTGTGAAGGGCGAGGATGTAGTGGTGCTGGGATGCGAAAAGCGATCCGCCATGAAGCTTCAGGACACCCGAATTACCCCCTCCAAGATCCAACTTCTCGACAACCATGTCGCCCTTGCCTTCGCCGGCCTCAACGCAGATGCTCGAATTCTCGTCGACAAGGCTCGCTTAGAGGCCCAGTCCCACCGATTGTCTGTTGAAGACCCCGTCACAATCGACTACATCACCAAGTACGTCGCCGGCGTGCAGCAGCGGTACACACAGGCCGGTGGCGTCCGCCCATTCGGTATCAGCACACTGGTTGTTGGCTTTGACAACGGAAGCAAGGTCCCTAGACTGTACCAGACAGAACCTTCTGGTATCTACTCCGCATGGTAGGCAATGTTACATCGTGGGTTTGGGAGGTCCATCATCTAATTATTCGATTAGGAAAGCAAATGCCATCGGCAGGTCAAGCAAGACTGTTCGGGAATTCCTGGAGCGCAACTACAAGGATGACATGGACCGTGAGACGACCATCAGACTGGCCATCAAGTCACTGCTCGAGGTGGTTCAGACCGGCGCCAAGAACATCGAGATCGCTCTGATGGTGCCGGGCGCTGCGATCGAAATGTTGGACACGGAAGAGATCGAGGGCTACGTCAAGGAAATCGAACAGGAGAAGCAGGAGGAGGCTGCCAAGAAGAAGACTGGCCGGACCCCAGGAACCGGGAGCGCTGCTATCCTCACGAGAAGCCAAGAGGATTCTGCTGCTGAATAATTACGGGAATATATAAACTATTTTGATAGACAAAGGCAGTCTAAACCTCGAATTGCGCTACGTCAAATGTATCATCAAATGTAATCCAGGCTCATGCCCTGGAAGGCCCTCATGCCGGGGCATAATTGCCGTGCCTCTTCTTCCATCAAGATGCCAGCCTACCCCAGTTGGTCGGCCTCTTCCGTGGGGTCGAAGATGGTCCTGTAATCCTTTTGTTTCACCCGCTCGTCCCTGAGCATCTTGCTGTCCATTCTGACGTCCTCGCTCTCTATAGAAAGGGCAGCCTTGGGTGTCTTGGCGTCAATCACGAAGTGGTTATCGCAGTGGGGGCAGTATTCGTCGCTCTCCTCGAACTCCTGGGCGTCTTTTCGGAAGCACTTCTTGCATTTCTTGCAAGCAAACACCATCTCGAGGGCCTGCTGGAGTTCATGAGACTCCTGTTCCTGGTGGCACTGGGCGCAGTCGAACCACTTCTTGCCTGTTTTATTACGAGTCAGGAGACACAGTTCGGAGGAAGGGGTCGTCGGGAGGTCATACAGCAGGGCGAGCGAATCGCAACCTGGGCGTTCAGGATATGCTTGCTAGTGGGCAGTTAGCACCCAACATCCGGCTGGGGGGGGAGGTAGGCCTTTATTTGGAGCTCTCATACCACATGGTCTACAATCTTTTCACATCCACGTTTGGTCTTGGTTGTGGCTAGCAGGTGTCACCTAACGCGATGTCACAAGTTAAAATTGTGGCTTGAGGATTGATTTGTTGGTAGTGGTTGTATTACCCCAAGTTTTAGCGGGGTCCCTCTCCGAGAAGCGCGGCGCGGAACCTGCTCTCGCCGTCGACGTAGTTCTAGGGGTCTAGGCTGACACATCAACTCAGTTCAGCCCCGTGGTCGGGCGTGAACCTTTATTCTCCTTCAACGTGAGCCTGTTCATCAGGACTCAACGCTTTCATCATTCCACGACTCGGTATCCTTAGCCGAGGCTGCATTTTCTGGTTGGCATTGCACTCTAATCCGTAATTCACAATGCCACCGAAAAGAAAGGCGCCACCGGCGGCGCAGCCGAGTGCTAAGGCGGGAAGGTCGTCACGCATGTCGACTCCCGGCGCCGGGACACCACGCAGCTACGAAAGCGCTGACGAGGTGGAGGAGGATGACGGGCCGGTCGACGAGGTCCTGGAGCGGGATATCGACAAGAACATAGATATCTTCTCGCTCGACCACTACCAGAAAAAACATCACATTCGCGAGCCACTGCCGCACATCTTTGGTGACCATGACTTCTCGTATCTTGACCTGAAAAGGGACCACCAGAACCGGCCTCTTTGGATCGATCCGCAAAAGGGTAGGATCATCCTGGAGAGCTTTAATCCGCTGGCAGAGCAGGCCCAGGATTTCCTAATCACCATCGCCGAGCCGCTGTCACGACCGACGTTCATGCACGAGTACGCCCTCACGACGCACAGTCTCTACGCCGCCGTCTCTGTCGGTCTATCGCCGCAGGACATCATCAACACGCTCCAGCGGTTCCTCAAGACGCCCCTGCCCGAGGAGATTCGAACGTTCATCACGAGCTGCACACAGAGTTACGGCAAGGTCAAGCTGGTCCTCAAGAATACCAAGTACTATGTGGAAAGTCCGGATCCCAACATGCTTCAGACGCTGCTCAAGAATCCCAAGATTGGGCCTCTGAGAGTACAGGGAACAGAAGAGATCACGACATCAGCAGCTCCCAAGATCGGCGGTCTGGTGATTCCTGGTACAAAGAATGCTGCTGGCGTGAAACAGGCCAACGGTTTGCAGCAGAGCGGTGGGGAGGGACACGAAGGCCAGCCGGTCCAGGAAAGCGACGTCTTCGCAACCCTTAACGAGGAGGACGATGATGATCAAGAAGTCACACACTCTTTCGAGATTGCCGACAGGGACGTTGAGACGGTTCAGAAGGAGTGCCTGAACCTGGGATATCCGGTTCTGGAAGAGTACGATTTCCGAAGAGATGAAGTAAATCCCAATTTGGACATCGATCTCAAACCTGGTACCCAGATTCGACCGTATCAGGAGAAGAGTCTAAGCAAGATGTTTGGTAACGGCCGAGCGAAGAGTGGCCTCATCGTCTTACCTTGTGGTGCCGGTAAGACTCTGGTGGGAATCACAGCTGCTTGCACTATCAAGAAGGGCATCATTGTCCTTTGCACCAGCTCCATGTCGGTCGTGCAATGGCGTAACGAATTCTTGAAGTGGTCCAACATCAACCCGGACGATATTGTGGCTTTCACGTCGGATTCGAAAGGAAATGTTTTTACTGGAAGTACTGGAATTATCGTCACCACGTACTCCATGGTCACACAATCAAGAGCCCGATCTTATGATGCAGATAAGATGATGAAGTTCTTGACAGGACGTGAATGGGGTTTAATGTTGTTGGACGAGGTTCACGTTGTCCCAGCTAACATCTTCCGAAAAGTCACCTCATCGATCAAAACCCATTCCAAGCTGGGACTTACAGCTACGCTCCTTCGTGAGGATGACAAGATTTCCGATCTTAACTTCCTGATTGGCCCGAAGCTATTTGAAGCGAACTGGATGGAGCTGTCCAAACAGGGTCACATTGCTCGGGTACAGTGCGCTGAGGTTTGGTGTCCGATGCCGACCGAGTTCTATGACGAGTACCTTCGAGCACCATCGCGAAAGAAGGGCTTGCTCTATATCATGAACCCGCGCAAATTCCAAGCTTGCCAATATCTCATCAACTACCACGAGTCCAGAGGCGACAAGATCATCGTTTTCTCAGATAACGTCTACGCGTTGAAGGCATATGCGCTGAAGCTCGGCAAAGCATACATCTACGGAGGCACTGGGCAGGCTGAGCGCTTACAGGTTTTGGAAAATTTTCAGCATAACCCGAATGTGAATACCCTTTTCCTCTCCAAGATTGGTGACACGTCGCTCGACTTGCCCGAGGCTACCTGTCTCATCCAGATTTCCTCTCACTACGGATCCCGGCGTCAGGAGGCTCAGAGACTCGGGCGTATTCTGCGGGCCAAGAGGCGAAATGACGAAGGTTTTAATGCGTTCTTTTATTCGCTGGTGTCCAAGGATACACAGGAGATGTATTTCTCCTCTAAGCGACAGGCATTCTTGGTGGATCAGGGGTACGCATTCAAGGTGATTACACAGCTGGCTAATATCGAGAAAACGCCCGGCCTGGCATTCGCGTCCCCAGGGGAGCGGCGCGAGCTCCTGCAGAAGGTGCTGGTGGAGAACGAGGGCATGGAGGACGAAGATATCACGGATGATTTGTTCCACAGTGGGACAATGGGTCGCAAGAAGAAGAAGGGCGCAGCTCGCCGGACAGCCGGAACACTCGGAGAGCTGAGCGGCGGGCAAGACATGGCGTACATCGAACAGAACAAGAGGCTGAATCAGTCTCTAAAGAAGGGCAAGGGGAAGAAGGAGAGCAGTTCGTTCTTCAAAAAGATTGACCGTGAGAAAGCCAGGAGGGCGGCAGGTTAGCCTAGACCTACCTAATACTGTATGTCTTTGTGCGCAACGTTACCAAAGTTGGTGGAACTTGTTTTGGGGACTTTCTATTTATATGGATCACAAAAAGAGGCACGGCGTTAGTCGGTATGGGATTTGATTGGGTTTCGCAGGCACGCGGGAGAAGCTAGATTGCTCAATTGTCTTATTTTTTATCACTTTCTGAAGGGTCGCGGTTTCTAGTGAAACCTCGCAGCCTTACAAGACGGTCTAGAACCACCAAAGATACTACTAGTTCGTTTACACCGGATCGTTCTGAATACCATTACCCCTTTACTTGAGCGTTACCAAATGAACCAGCCATGCCAAGGCGGCCCTGGTTTGCTGTGGAATGAACTCGATGAGATCGCACGTGCCTCCCTTTCTACCTAATTGAAAGTCGAAGAGTCTTTTGATTCAGGTGACGAATCAGGCAGCCGAAAGAGTAAGCACTCCGAGATTCTGTTCGGTTTGCCGTGCCAAGGCCCAGTCTCACCAATGATTCACAGGGAAACCCGAGATAAGGGCCTGTCTTAGAGCTCAGGATCGCCTCCTCTCCAATTGGCTATATAGCCGCGAGGTGACTTATCAACGGCACAAAGTGAGAGGAGACAGAAGGTGAGGCTAGTAGTTTTACGTGACCCGAGTCTGAGTCTAAAACTACCGAGAGTGTCGGGTCTTACGGCACTTTTGTACATGCAGAAGAATGATTGTCTCCGTTCAGGCTTATATCCCAAGCATAATTTAGCATCTTCAAGCTAAGGGGGTGTGGTTGCAGCCGATGGAACCTGGCACATCTATAATCACACCTACATCTCGGAAACACCCATCATATCAACTTGGCATCCCGAGATAAGGGTGGATAGCTACGAAAAGAGAGCCTTGATCAAATCCGCCGCAAGCCCCCCGAGTGAAGTATAGTCTGTAGGCAATACCGAATATGCTCTGAGCTAAGATGCTTGGTGGCAGGCATGTGTCAGCCTCGTGGGGATGATATCGGCGGCCCTCCAGCTCTCACGCTAAATATAGTCGTTGATTGATGGCCGCCTTCATTGGTATAATTTTTTTTTCTCCGGGTAGAGGGCGTGCAGTATAGCAGATCGAGTTTCCGCCTTGGCGACGATCCTGTGGCCTGATTCTGATCGGAGATCACGCAGACACACGGCACACGGGCTAGCAAGGGATACGTACATAGTGCCTATGTGCAATGGGAGCGAGCAGGTGACGCAGTGCACCGACTCAAGGCGAGTGACAAAAAAAAAAAAAAAAAAAAAAAAAACCAAGAGGCAGCCAACGTTTGCTGGGTGCCGTGGCAAACACGAACTCCGCGCTTAGCCGAATTGCCGGTGTCCAGCTGGCAAATTTCTCTTCTCCCCTCCCCTCGCAATTGCGAAAGAACAGGATTTATTTCTCTCAAACACGAACTCCGCGCTTAGCCGAATTGCCGGTGTCCAGCTGGCAAATTTCTCTTCTCCCCTCCCCTCGCAATTGCGAAAGAACAGGATTTATTTCTCTCATTCAGGGTTCAGTTATTGCACCCCAATCGGGTGCAGCGGGTGTTGAATGCAACCGAACGCACAGTTGATTGATGTCTACCGATTACTTGGAAGAGATAGGGCGATACCTCGCAGCCTATCAGGGTGTGGCCGTTTCAGAGGTATTTGGTTATTGGTGCCGGGCTGGAATGACATCATGGAGATAGTGAGCACAACCAGGGGTACTTCACTCCAGACGGTACTCGAGAGACCCCCAGTCGGAGGGGGCTCTTTCAGGTACTAACTGCTGCGAGTACATTGAGGCGCTGGGCCGTTGCGAACTTAGGGAGGTACCTTCCGTGCGCGCTCCTTCCTTGGCTGTGCCGGGCGCCTGCCTGTCAATGGAAGAATGATTCAGTCAATTGATGGTCCCCGTTCTATTTGCGATACCCCCTTGTCCCAGTCTGTGCTCTTCCTCCATGTCGTAGATAATGGCGGCTCCTGGCTGAAACTGCGCATGAGTGTGATTATTGCATGGCTGATGCACACCTCCCGTAGCCACACACCATCTCCCAGACTACCCTGCCATGTCCTGCAGGCGCCGCACATATGGATGGATCACCATGGCTGGTCCGACAGACCGGGGGCTGCAGGTGGGGGCGGCATGGGTGGCACCGCTTGAGGGAACCAAAGCTTGAATCCATCGGGACGTTGCCCCAAGAGAACAGTTCGGGAGGCATCCAACCCACGCTATGCCTGGGCGACGTGCTCGCGCCTTTCCCAGCCAAGCACGAGGGAGAGGGTCCAGACCAGCGCCTCTTTTTCCCAGCGTACAGAGACCACAAAGGAAAGACTGACTAGTGGACGGGCTGGAACCCCTCGCCGACCACGCAATACGGTTTCGCCGCAGATACAGAACCGGCGGAGCGCTTATGGTCATTCCTCGGGATGGAGGGCTCGAGTTGAGTTATGTTATGTATGCGCTGGCGGTGCGAGCACCTGTTCTCGATTTGCCCTCTCTTCCTCGTCCAGGGATCTTTACATGGGTTCGGCGCTCTCTGCAACAGTTGCTAAAGAAGTTGCGGCTTCCCAGATGTGCCCACATGCACGCAAGCGTTGGCACTAATGTAATCAACCTTTTTTATCGAACCGGTCCCTCTACATATTCGCACAACCTGGACCATCCATGACCACGTCTTTCAAGTGCATCGCACTAGGGTGAACTCTCGACTTACCCGCTTGCGAGGGCCCCTTTCTCGCTTCTTGGAGTGGACATGCTGCTGGTGTTATTCGGCAATTTACTCACCTCGCCACACCTCTCACCTTGTCTCGTCTCCCACGCTCTCACCACCTCCTATCCCTACTGCCTCTTCGCATAATTGATACTGTCCAGACGAAGCGACCAAGCCCAGCTCATCCTGCTTTTGGGTTGGCGCCCTGCGCCATGCGCCTCCCCTAGCTCCCGGACAAACTTACTCATTCTTACACCGCACAGATTCTTTCGCTCTGGCCGCGGCACACTCCCGGACCCGCCAATTTGAGATATCACACGCCTCTTATCCCTCTGCCCGCCCAGACAGCTGAGAATATCCTTTGATTCACTCCTTTTGCTACGCTGGTTTCACAAAGCAGCGGTCTGGGCACAGCTTGCTTTGCTGATCGGATACATACGGTCGCATCCGGTCGCACGGCCAAGGACCTCTGAGGTGCGCCCGTCCTCGCAACGTGCGCGCGATCCTCGATTCCTATTTGACGGGGGACCAAATTTGGCGTCCCAAGACCCTGGGACCACCTTGCTTTGTTTCTTGCATATCTTGCATATCTGAACAATAAGGTGTCATTGATAACGCTGTTCTCGTCACAGTACATTTGTTTACCGAGTATCATATCATCAATTCACCCATCCGTCATTGTATAAAGGGGGAAAAACTGTTTTTAGGACCTTTATAACCGCCCACTCGACTCTCGATTGCCCTTGCTCTACTCAACTTCCTTGTCTTCTTTATCCCAAGGCCACAGGATCAGGACCAGGACTGCTCCTTTTGCCAGACAAAAAGCCAAGCGTTGCGCCCGTGGCTCTTATCAAAGCACCAACCTAACGACCACGCCCAAAATTTCGTTGTTACCCTTTTTACAATTCTCGCCGTTATTCTATCAAAGCACCAGTCGCGGACACACCTTCTACCTACAAAAGCTTCTCCGACATGTCATTTTGCCTCACTGTTCTCATTGTATCCCAATATTGGGTGCGAGACTGACAGTGATCACCGCTACCTCGTAGCCATTCCCACTCGTCACACTGGTCGGCTCCTGTGTACCATCCATCAATTTAATATTTGCTGCGTCCTCAACCAAGCGCATCATCCCTAAGCATTCCCGACCGCTCTAAAAATCCCTTTTTTCAGTACTTTGGGTCTTCCAATCGCATCGATGGCGGAAGGATTCAGAAGCCGGGTATTGGCTAAGGTCAAGTCTCTTGGGGACTCCTTTACCTCAAAAAAGCCCCATTTCAACTTCATCACAGCCCACTGTGAGTATCTCCCCCTCCGCCCCCTAGATCATATTCCTTCTTCTATATCCTCGCATTTGTACTGACTGATGTGATAGATCTCTGGGTTGTCTCTGCTACGATTGTCGCGTCTATTTTAATATTCGCAGGTGGCAAGGGCAATATTTCATACACAGATGCATTGCTTTTCGCAAGTGGCTCCAACAGCCAAGCAGGCCTCAATCCTGTGGATGTCAATCTCCTCAACACATTTCAACAGATCGTCATGTATATATTTCCCATGCTATCAAACCCCATCACGCTGCACGGATCTGTCGTCCTGCTTCGCTTATATTGGTTTGAGAAGCGGTTCCAAGGGCTGGTCCGAGATGTGAGACAGCGCCGCATGCCCCTGAGCAAATCCAAGTCAAAGGCACGAGATGAACTCCGTCGTGTCGAGGAAGGTGTGAACGGTCGAGACATTACTCGGGTCAATACCAGCACCGACACATCTCACAGAGTAACCAACGACGGTGTCCTCTTATCCCCCGAGAACATCGCCCCAAACGAAAAGGCTGTCAGTAGCAGCAGTGGGAGTGAGACAACGTTTCATGACGACAAGATAGAAGATGTCAATAACCATTATCTAGCTGAAGACCACGCGGACCTCGAACCCCAGACCACGACGCAATCTGCCACACAACCCCAAGAGACTCAAAGTGCAGGTCAAACTCAACCTCGCCCATTTGGGTCTATTACGTTCGCCGAGACTGTCAAGAGGAGTGATGGAATCGAGGAGGACATGGCAGTTGGTATGCGCAACCATTCCAAATCCGAGCATATCGCCATTTTAGAACGACAGCGGAACCAGGATAACGAGGTCCTCCGCATCCCAGGCCCTAGAGAAATCGAAAGAGGCCTTGGACCTCGGCGACTTGATGAGGATGACCAACCTGACGATGACAACCCACTCTATACCGCTATCACAAGAGATTCGCGACCAGATCAGATACACATGCGCCGAAATCCTACCATCACCATTGCGGAACCTGAGCACAGAAGGAAAGATGATGTGGCTGATGACGGGAGATCTGCTGCAGGCATGTCATTCCGCCGAAGAACGTCCCGAATGTTCAGCAGGCCACTAAGCGCCGCTCGTGACGACGATGCAGATAGTCGTATGACCCGTGGATCTCGCGCGAGGACGATGGAGACGTTGCGGTCCGCACTTTCTCGCGATAAGTACGACGATATGCCGTATCTGAGCTACACCCCTACCATGGGCCGCAACTCGAACTTTGTTGGCCTCACACTCGAGCAGCGAGAAGAACTGGGAGGTATCGAGTATCGATCATTAAGGACTCTGGCATTCATCCTCCTTGGATACTTCTGGGGGTTCCACCTCCTTGCTGTAATCTGCCTCCTTCCGTTCATCCTACACAACAATCACTATGGGGATATCCTGGCCAGTGATGGTGTTGGCAGAGTATGGTGGGCCTTTTGGTCGGCAAATCTTTCCTTCATGGATGTTGGATTTTCCCTTACTCCCGATAGTATGATCTCGTTCCAGACATCAGAGTACGTGCTTATGATCCTATGGTTCTTCATCATCATCGGAAACACTGCTTTCCCAGTGATGCTGCGGTTCATCATTTGGGTCATGTCCAAGATTGTTCCTCGTCACTCGGGATTATGGGAAGAGCTCCGATTCTTGCTCGACCACCCTCGCCGATGTTTCACACTCCTATTCCCATCTGCAGCCAACTGGTGGTTGTTCGGGATCTTGGTTGCCTTGAACGTTATAGATGTCTTCTTTTTCATCGTCCTAGATGTAAGTCCGACACGTACTGCGGCTCCTATTCAATTCCAAACTAACAGCACAATAGATCAACGCCCCTGCTATACAGCATCTCCCCGTCCACACCAGGGTTGTCAATGGTTTGTTCCAAGCTGCATCGACACGCACGGCTGGTTTTTCCAGCGTTAACTTGTCAGACCTTCATCCCGCTATGCCCGTCCTGTACATGATCATGATGTACATCAGCGTCTTCCCCATCGCCATTTCCATCCGCAGGACCAACGTGTATGAGGAGAAGTCTCTCGGCGTCTACCCTGATAAGAAAGATGATGATTTTGATGATGAGAATGTTCACACCGCCAACGCCATGTCTTATGTCGGGACCCATTTAAGAAGGCAGCTCTCCTTCGATCTTTGGTTTGTCTTCCTTGGCTTCTTTCTTCTCGCTATCTCTGAGGGCTCGAGAATCAAAGCGGGCAAGTTTGAAATGTTCAGCGTCCTCTTCGAAATCGTTAGTGCATATGGCACCGTCGGTCTGAGTTTGGGAGCTCCCGGCATCAATGCCTCTCTTTGCTCGCAGTTCAGCGTTCCGGGCAAGCTCATCATTGTGGCAATGGAGATTCGTGGTCGTCATCGTGGGCTTCCGTACGGGCTGGACCGCGCCGTTATCCTCCCGAGCGAATCTCGGCTTCGTAAAACAGAAGACTCGCAGCCCCCCGTGATCGGTCGAACTATCACCAAAGCTTCCACTGTAGCGACACAAGGCGGCCTTCAACGACGTGGGAGCACCGCCAGCCGGAGAGGAAGCTTTACGCAAGAGCGGGATCGCAGACTCCTTACCAAGTTCCTCCATCCCGGCCCTGTGGTTCCCCCAGGCGTTATTCACTCTCAGAAGAGGAGAAAGTCGGTGGACTCGCAGGCTTTGTCTCAGGTCCTATCAAATGGGTCCAAACAACCACAGTCCGAAATGTCAGCAGGGGATGGTCTCGAAGGCTATGATCATAACCCGAACGCGACAAATTCTTAAACTTGAGTGTCACCTTCAGATTTGTTGCACATAGTTCCCATTGGATTTTATCTGGGAGCGTGACAACGAAACTTTGGTTTTCATATATTTGGTTTTTTTTCTGGCCTCTTTCGTGTTCTACACTTTGGAGTGTGTCTTATAGAAGAAGGAATATCTCCGGGATAATCATGATTATTTATCCCCGGACAGAACTTGTTTGTATGGGATTTAGACGGCGAATTTGCGGTTTGGCGAACTTGAATAGGGACAAGGAAGGGTATTAAGAGCGATGGACAAGATATAAGATTCTCTGGCTACGGCGTTAATGTCAACACGGAAACAAGGTTCCAGTTTGCCTCAATTAGAAGAGGCCTCACTAAAATAGTACGTCGCAATATGAGATTCACAAAATCCGGCTTGGGATCCAGCCGGATTTCTTGTATTCAAAATGTTCCTGTGCGTCTAAATACCAGTTGCCCAAACGACGCCAATGTTGCCGCCTCCCGAGTCGTAAAATATCCAGCAATCCAAATTAAAGAAAAGAAGAAAGAAAGTCTGCCCAACCAAGTATTCCAAGAATCCGAACCCACCATACATGGCTGCCGATGCTATGTCTAGGCTTACCCCCGTCCAGGTAGTATAGTATAAAAGGAGAGTAATTATTACGTGTGGCTGCTAATTCATTAATTTATCGGCGTTCGAACGCATCCATGTTCTCGAGAGCCCCGGCCAATCGACGATAATCTCTCAGCAGCTCTATGACTTCCCCAATCTTCAAGTCGGCGGGGTTTTGCAGCTCCAAGAACCGCTTGTTCGGTGGGGGGATCTTTGGTTTTGGGGGCAATGCGGCCGCAAGATCCGGGAATGCCTATTAGAAAGAAAGGGAGGGTTAGCCGTGTCAACAACAGCACAGATGGGACGACCACTTATTGTCAAAGGTAAACTTACGGTTGCCAAGTCGCCACCATCGGCGACCTTGTTGGCATCTACAGCAGGAGAAGCCACGGGTGTGGTGCGGCCGAAGCCGCGGATCGAGCCAAACTGGGTGGTCAAGCGGGAGAGGGGGTTGAAAGAGTTGCTGAGGCTTCGCACTTGGTCAAGCATGGCGGGGTTCTGGCTAGTACCTGTGCTTGAGGGTGCGGCGGCCTTGCCCTCGTCCTGGAAGATGCCTCTGGGCCGCGATGAGCTGCGGCCGCTGACAGAGCTGTCGGCGCTGCGGTCCCGGCGCCCCCCTATCAAGTTGAGAACCCTATCTTCTCGCAGGGATAGTCGCTTGCGCTGGTCGACATCCTCTGCCTCCTCGTCCGGGGGGGGCGTGCTCACTAGCTTCCGAGCATCATCCAAGGTTCGCGGAACAGCGATGGATTCGCGGGGGCCGTCCTGGTGCTCGCGCAGCTTCCCAAGCAGGAACTTGTAGCTATCGCCCAAGCTGTTCGATACAGTCTTGAGGCCTTGATCAGCAGTGTTGATGACAGCATCGCTAGCAGCGCCAAGAGCCTGTGCCGGGGTGTTGACGAGATCGCTCAGTCTGCGATTTCTGAGCACGTTGGTCGGTTTCAGGCCTGAAGGGGGCACGCCAGCCTTTGGTGCCGTGGCATTCGCTTTGGTGGTTTCTGGCGCGCTCTTTGACGCAGGGGTCGTTCCTTGAGAGTAGGCGGGCGGGAAAGTCTCGGTTTTGGATGCTCCCACCGCATTCTTTGGGGGACCAGAAGGCAATTCGTCGGATCGCAAGGTAGACAGATCAACCGTTTCCAGGAAGCTGATGGCAGCTTCGAGATTCGTTAGACAGTAGGCAGCTTCCCCAGTAAGCTTGGGCTCCCATCTGAAGCTCTGAATAAACCGGCTATCGCTGATCACATGCAGATTTTCCGGGGGCAGAGTGATGAGGGTGAAGATAAGCATGGGCATGACTTCGTCGGCCGACGCAGAGGGGTGGAATTGTGCGATGGTGTCGACGATACTTCGGTGTGCGGCCCTCAAGCGATTGAGCTTCCCCAGGGGATATCTGGAGTGGTGCATGTGTGTCAGGTCTTTCCGGGCCTGTTCCAACCAGGTCCTGATCTGATCCGTTTTCTCTTTTATAGCTTCTGGAGTCAAGCTGTTGTTGTCCCCCCCACCACTGATATCAACACCCAAGTCCGCCGGGCCAATGCCAACAAGCGACAAAGCAGCGGTCTTGGACCGGAGCTTGTCATCCTGTGCTTCATCCTGGGTGCTCTTGTGACGGTATATCCTATCATAGATTCCCTCACAGAGGCGGCGTTCTACGGCCTCCTCCAGGTTTGCGCGCTGAGATTCAAGGGCCTTGCGAGCTTGCCTTTTATTGCTGAGTTCGTCTGGCGTAAGCATCTGGTGTTCCGTCTCGGATTTCGCCTTTTCCTTGTTCACGCTTAGTGACGAAGTCTTATTTCGAAGGCGACTGGCTGCCGAAACGAGAGAGGATGTGGATTGGGTCGCGGCGGCGGAATCGCGGCCATGTCTAGTCGCCAGAGCATTGATGTGGGTGTTGATGTTTGTTGACGCTTGTGCGTAGAAGTCCTGGAAAAGCTGTGACAGTTTATCGATCGAAGGTGGCGTCGAATGGACTTTGGCTCCTAGAGACTCGATGAAGCTGTGATTGCGTCAGTTACTATGACCCAAGCTGACGCGGGGAGTCCATTTGCACCTGTCAGTCAAGGTGACAAGCTCGATTGGGAGCGAGTCGAGCTCTACAGACGCCCGGCTGACCTCGATGCTCTCTTCGTTATCGGTATGTTCGCCGCCATCGAATGTATCGGGTGTGTCTTGGGCTCCTGGTTGGAAGGTATGCGATCGCTTAGCCAGCTTGGGCGACTCCTTGCTATCCTTCTCGGTGTCGGGATTGGGCCTGGAAGCCGATGCTGCTCTCTGGGTGCTGGGGCGACCTCCGGAGGCCTTCCTGGGGCTTTGGGGTGCCATGGATCTGTCAGAAGACTGGAACACCTTCATTGTAAGTATGGTGTGTTGCTTCGGGGGCGGGCTTTATCCGGGAGTGGACGGTATCGAGAGGGGGTGTAGACGAGGCAGGCATACCTTGAAGCCTACCTACCTGCTTGTTTGAACGTGGTAGGTATGAAGATGATGGCTGCAATACAGCTGGTTTTGTGGGTGGAGGGAGGCTAAAACAAGGCTGGAGCTTGCCGCCCTGATGTGAAACCAGTCAAACTCAATGGGCCGGCGAATGGCGTCTCTGTCCTGGTGGTCTAGACATGCACGGAGGCGCAGTACCGGAGCTCGGGGGTATCACGTAGCGAACGATGACGGTGCTGCCTGCTGCACGAATTGGGGTGGAGAACGGAGGGTGGTGTTGAGGAGCGAGCGATCAAAGGATCAACTGATACCTCGCAATTAGCGAACACGGATTCCGTTATGTGAATTGGCCGTGTGGGCATGGCTATCCATGGCATGGAACTTCGGACACGAGATGACAACCGCTTCTAGCACTAAAAGACTCCAGCTAAGCTTCCTCGACCAACTACGTGCCTGTGCAGATGGAGATGTTCCGGTAGGTGGTGGTGTCATCAATTGATCGAATCGCTGAAGCTTACAGGGGGCTAGTGCCTACCTTGTACTCTTACCCGGTCAGGTGGGTGACAGAAGAAGTGAGACACCAACTTATACGTATGGCATGCTTTAGTTACAATAACTAACATAAAATAATAATAATAACAGCATAATTCAATAACATACAGTTTATTGTCCAGACTTTTGCTTATCATTAGTCTGAAGTACTCGAAAACACTCGGCATAACTCCAAAAGTATAGCAGGACTAGAGATTTGATGTCTCAATTCTTCTGTCACTCGGCTGCCCGTCTGGAGGCTGAAGATTGTACGTACCCTAGATCTCGTAGCTCCAGGATGCTTGCTACCATCCCAAACCCGAACACATTTGAATGAAAAATATATCGATATTTCTTTCTCGGATTTGTTTATATTCTAGTATAAGCACAGTAAGAACTGCAGATGTTAGAGAATCAATTGCTTATAGCAATACGGCTTCCATGAGAACAATACCACACTTCTCGAAATTACAACACAAGAAACCCACGAGACGAGAACTATACCACATGGTGTTTGAAGCCTGCTGAGTATTGACGTTTTACCCAGACGAAAATTTATAAAAATTGACTCGTCGCCAGCCTCACTAGATCCTTGGGCATCTTTCTTTCTCGCAGGTCCACGAAGGTATTATACCTTACCTGAACTTGCGCTTTATGGACATTCCTTCTTTTGGTCGGCTCAATGCATTTGCGGTACACCATTTGTACGGTAGGTGCTCGATGGCTTCTGGACAATGTACATGATTGTACTCATCCTCGTTAGTGATATTGTCGGCCGTTCCGGTCTTTAATTCTTGGAGGGCCCTAAAATCCCGTGCTCTTCTCTGCCAAAATTGGTGAAAGAGCTCCCTGAACTTAAGCTAGTCTTCTGGATCCTTTCTGATGTGTCGCGGAATCCTTGCCCCATCTAACTCAGGCTCTGCCTCGGGCTTTCCCTCTGGCTCTTTGAAAAGTTTGCGCCGTATGTCCCAGGATAGTATCGTGCGTACCCTCTAATGTCTTGGAGGTTATCATTCAGGCCAGAATGTCATCTGAGGTTTGAAATCCATGGCAAGATAGATAGCCAGGCAACTACTACACGCGGTAGCGTGTCCAGTGTTCAATTCTCAGCATCTCTATTCTTTAGTTGTGTTTGATGGCTTATAATCGAGCCTGTCACAGCTTGGGACTAAGAAATGATTGTATGGCTTGAATTTGTCATGGATGATCGGCCCAATCCCACATCCCTCTCGAGGATTGAGCATATTCTCTCGGGCCAACTCCGCGATAGCTTGTCGCTAAAGTTGAAGTAGAGGCGGGGTCACATTCTGGAAGGTGATGGTGTCGCTCTTGACCCAGGCCGGGCTGAACTTGCCGGAGAATCTGTACCACGGGAGGACCACCAGAAGCATTTTTAGTAGTCTCTCATCATCGAGTAGGCTCTGAAAGCTGGTCAATCAGAGTTTAGATAATCACGATATCAGAGCATTTATTCCCCAACTTACATGTTCAGCTGGCATTTGTTCATAGAATCAGAGGAATTTCATGAGAATCTGACTCGTCTTCGAGCGTACGGAGCACAGATAATAAAAATAAAACTGGCCCAATGATGCCTGCCTGCGAGAAAGACGGCCTAGCTAACGGAGAAAAGACAGACAATTTTAAATCAAAATAATTGCGTCGCTACTATACACGGGACGGGTATGATATGGTCCCAACACCCGTGCGGCAAATTAGAGAGCTTCATTCCTCTAAGCTAATGTCGTTTGAGATTTCTGATCATTGTAACTGGTAAGAGTCATGTTTCTGGGTGCACCATTCCGAGTAATTGCCAAGTGGCCGAAATCGATTTAGCATTCCGCATTTTTGGATCCAAGTACCACTATTTACTAAAATCACACTCGATTCCTCCAGTGTTGTGTTGAGCTCTGGTCTACTTGTTGCCGAAAATGCCAAAACTCTAAAGATAGATTTTGCTAAAGCAGATATAAATAAGCCTTGAATTTGACCTGATGAACTCCGACGCATTGCAGTTCAGTTAGCACACTCATCAGCCAGTTTCTATGAGTCCCACGATACCAGGAAGGCACTCAGGTGGCTGACAGTATCTAAATCAAACATGGAGGGAGAAGGAGGAGACGTGTTTACGCAAGACTCTGGATCCAGTGAAACATACAAACTACCCGTCAAGGGTCCGACCTCAAATATGTGTCGGTGGCACGGTCCAGTCTCATACTTCGCAGAGTTGCTGTGGGCTCTTTTCCTCCAGGGGATGATTCCAGGAGCGATCGTACAAGACAACTTGTAGGCATTCAGTGAGGGACAAGGGTGAGCTTTAGAGGTTGTATGACAATACGCAATGAAATTCTAGTTTTATCCATTATTCGGGTTGATTGTTGTAAATTTAGGTAAAGAACACTACGATAATCTATGAACTGCCTGGCCCCTGTTACCCCACATCTTACCCCACGGGGGGTGTTCATTGACCCAAGTACATACTCAGACTACTACAAACATGGACGTAGCTGCCCTACACCATCTCAATCTTTTGAGTAGTCTAGATAGCATATGCTTAAATGGTAGAAGAGCAATGGGGGGGCAGGATTTGGACGGACCAGGCAACAGGCTGGACCAGGCACTAGGCTATGCATGTCTCACTCCGTTTGCGTCTTGAGACGCTATTGAATAGCAGCAATACCTAGCGAGCAGCACGCCCAAGATCCCTGACACGAAAGCCATGCGGGGTAGCAAGATGATTGATCTTCATTGGAACAAGACATGGCTGGGATCAGCTTCCGCATCCGCACACCCTTGGCGTAGAATGCCGTTGCTGAGCCGATGTTATACCTAGGATAAGTACTAAGCGATGCCGAGCTAAAACCGCTTTACCCGCCCCCATCTCAAAGCATCAGCCCCCGTCGCCGTGTTATACATATCATCGGTCCAGCGTAGCATCTGGCAGTCCTCATCTTGATTCCACGCCCAAGCCAAGCCCTGCCACTCCTCATTCAAAAAAAAACATTCTGCTTCGTCCGTTCGCGCCACCATGTCTGGGCCCCCGTCGCGGCTGCGCTCCATCCTCAACCATCTCACCGGTGAGGGCGGCAAAGGCAGCCCAACGGCGACGCCACCTCACATCCACCATCTGTCGCCCACCTTCTTCCTCGAGCGCGCCGTCGACATTGAGCCCCAGGGAGAAGCCATCATCCACGTCACAGCCAACGGCGTCCCCATCCGCCGCTCCTACCAGGAATTCGCCGACCGCGCCCGCGGCCTCGCCTACTATCTCAAGAAGAAGGGTCTGAAGCGCGTCGGCGTCTTGGCGCCCAACACACCGGCTTTTCTCGAGGTTGTAACCCCTTGGCCTTTGCATGTCCTACTTCTCCCGCGCGTTTGTTAACATTCTGCTCTTAGGCCATCTTTGGCATTGTGGCCGCAGCAGGAACCATCGTGCCGGCAAACTATAGGCTGTCGGAGGATGAGATCTCCTACATCTTTGAGTTTGCCGAGGTGGACTGCATCATCGCCGATGATGAGTATGCGCACCTCTTGAGCGTGTTTCGGAGGAAGAAGAGCGACGTGCCTGTGATCGTTGATCTAGACACCGACGTGAAGGAGGGTCCCTCTAGTGGTCAGTACGACCAGGCGGTTCTGGAAGGTCTGCAGTATGATGCTGAGAATGGCTCCGCTGGCTGGGAGGGGCTGCACTCCAAGAAGGACGATGAGGATGACATGATTGCAATTCCCTTCACATCCGGGACCACTTCGCGGCCGAAGGGTGTTGTGTATACTCACAGAGGGGCCTATCTAGCCTCCCTGGCGAATGTCGTCGAGTCCAACCTAAATCAGGGTCGCTGCAGATATCTGTGGACATTACCAATGTGAGTGCCGCCACCTGGAGTTTGTCGGGTTAGGAAACAATGGGGCATAAGCAAGCCGGTTCGAACTTTGGCTGATGCGGGTGGTGATGCAATAGGTTCCACGCCATCGGATGGACCTATCCATGGGCGGTCGTGGCAGTGCGTGGTATCCACGTCTGCCTCAGGAAGATCAACTATCCTCTGATCTGGAAGCTACTGAAAGAAGAGAAGATCACTCATTTCAATGCTGCACCGACCGTCAACACTCTTCTGGTAGCCAGCGATGACGCGGAAAGACTCCCTCAAAAGGTCCATGTCACCGTTGCCGCAAGCCCGCCCAGTGGATATCTCTTTGAGCAGATGGTATGAAATCCGCCGCTTTTTCCCCATCGCGACGCACCCGGCAGATGAGCATGCTGACACTGATTTCCGCTAAAGACGAAACTGAATCTTCATCCCATACATGTATATGGAATGACCGGTATGTGCACCACTAACGAAGAAATATTAACGCTTTGGTTCCCCCCTTCCATTTCGCCCACTGATCAA